TATTTAGGAAAAATTACGTTCCAATGCAAAGAAATAAATATCACTTTTTTAGGGGGTTGTTTCCATTACCAAAATGTTTATAATACCAGTGATAACTGGACTGAAATGATCATTAATCAAAAAATAATTTATTATTATATTTCATTTTAAGGGACAATAAATTTTAATATTAAATATCGTATAGTCCCGAGATAGCATCCTCTTTTTACAATCATTTATACCGTGTAACAAATAATTTTCAAATTGTTCAAGTAGAGGGTGCTATCTTTCGGGACTGTACGGTAAGTTTGATGTCATCTTAGATTACATGATTCATTTTCAACCAGGACATGTCAGATAATTTATGATGGATAAAAAAAATTAATTTCAAAATTTCTATATAAATTAAAAATAATAAGTGTTAATTCAGCCACAAAAGATAATAAATATAATAAATACGTAGCTCAATTTAGAAAAACTCCTTAAATAAAATAAACAATAAATATCAAGAATAGATTTCCATTTGTAATAAATATTTTTCCTTTTAACAAAAAAATAATTCCATGCCCTATTTGTATTAAGCAAATTCATTAGATAAGATATATTTGAATTAGGAAAATTTTTAAAGATTGTGGATTTCCCTCATTCAATGGAATAAACAATAAGAAAAACTCCAAGACCTAAAAATGTACTAATAGGCGCAAACCTTTTAAAAAATTAGTGTAGGATTCATTATTTAATATATAAAATAAAGAACAATGATTGTGAATTTAATTATATATTGAGTAAGCGTCTTCTTCACTACACTAGGCTGAAAATAGAAAATAAACAACAACCTTGGTGAATACGTCGAAGAAAATGTAGACAAGAGCGACCTTCTCTAGGATGAAGAAGGTCACACTTTTAGATACATTACTAATCAAAGGAGGCTTAAAATGAAAACAAACATCTCCAAAAAACTATAAAACAATAAACACCAGTTATGAGCCTATCTGTTTGTCTTATTAAAAAATTTTAAAAGTTTCATGATCAATTATAAAATTAAAATTCCATGGATTTCTAATGATAATATTATCATTGGTAATCTGAGAAGGCCAGATATTTATTTTTGAGAGAAATAAGTTAGAATGCTATTAAAGTTATGTTGCAAACGTGGAGACTATGAATGTATGATTTTTGTAAAGCACGAATGGTAAATGTTTAAAAGAACATGGTACAAAAAACTCATTAAGCCGATTGGTAAGCAAAGAATTTCTTAACCGTGTCCTTATTTACCCCTGTAACACGTTAGAAATCATAAAGAAGGAAGTGACGTATCATCGTACTAAAACTAGTTTATATTAATATAACAATAAATAATGATGCTTTTTTTGCCAAATAAGGATAAAGCGCTGATCACAAAAAAATTAGATTTGTGAATGAATGTGAGCTCACCACACATACCTAATGTAGTTAAATTATTTGTCTTTAATAATAAAAACAATAACCTATAAATAACTATGAATAATTATAATAATTATATTATACTTGTTTTTTTTAATTTAATTTATTTAATTTAAATTTAAATTTATATTGTTTTATTGTAGAGAAAAAAACCAAATAAATAAGTTGAATAATTCCTTTTTTTCCTCTCCTTCACTAATTAAAAATAATACTTTTCTTAAAGGAATTATTAAATAATTATTAATTATTATTATTGAAATTAAAAAAATATTTTTTTTCGTTAATAGAATATTATTTATTATATTAATATTAATATTGTTTATATAATATGTCAACAGACATTGTCAATAATTCAACAAGAGAAGAAAAACATAATGTAATATTTTCCAATGCAGCTTTGGAATCCTTTTCTTCTTCACATATCGACAATGACAACAATTTAAATCATAAAAATAAGGCTCATGACTATTATAGCAATAACAATAACAATTATCAAACAACATCATCAAATAATAATAATTATCTAAATTCTCCGACTACTACAACTTCTTCTCAACATAATAAATTTTCTAAATTAAATAGAAATGATAGTATAAATCGAAGTAACAATGTTGATAGTCATCATAAAAATCATCATGGTAATTGTAAAAAACGTACAAAGCATTCTTCTCGAGGTTCTTTAAATCATCATCGTAGCAAAGACTCTTTTGATGGTTATACCAAAAATATAAAATTATCCAAAGATTATCCAAATGTAGGTGAATTGTTATGGGACCAAGGTAGAATTTATAGTGACGTTAAGCTTACTTTTGAAGATAATGGTGTTTTGGCTAAAAAAGCTGGCATTCCTATTGAATTAAGGCTTCATTCAATAGTACTCTTTCAATCTCAATTCTTCAAGGATCAATTATCAAAAAACTCTTCTTTATCAACATTAATCTCAAGAGAAAAACAAATAATAGTTAAGTTACCTTCGCGAGTGACTGAAGAGGATATGGTAAATTTTTATTGCACTTTGAAATTGATGTATACAAAAAGATGGGATCATGAACTATCCGATAATCTATCCAAGGGTGTCGGTTGTTTGTCTGTTTGTTTTGAGATTGGTTATTCTGAAGGAATTGAAATTTGTTGGAAATGGATAATTAGAAAATGTAATCATGATAAAAATAAAGAAATGGTTAAAAGACTAATTGAAGCATATCCTGATTTAAATCAACAATTCAACAACAATACTAATAATATTAACCATCTAACTATGCCATCTTCAACATCATTAACAAAAACTGTTTCAAGTTCTTCAGCATCAACATCAACAAATAATTCCTCTTCTTCATTAACAAGAAGAAATAGTTCTATCGTACAAAGGCGTACTTCTCGTAGAAGTAAAAGATCAAGTACTTCTAGACGTAATAACAATTTTGGTGGCAGTAAAAGCAACAAAACAATTGCTTCAATTGCATCCGCAATAACAAATGTAACTACTTCCACACTGTTAAAACCAAATCGTGATAATTCAGCTTCTTTACTAAGCGCAACTGACACTTTCAATACCAGCGATGATAATGAGGACGATGATGATTATCTTCTATTGTTGTCACCATCTAATCCAATGATACCTTTTTCACCACTCAATAACAAATATAATAATAAATCGTTATTGTCATCATTGCCTTCACTTCCGTCCCCTCCCCTTTCCACTTCACCACCATTATCTACAAAATCACCCTTACTATCACCAAAGATATCACCAAACAATGTTGTTAGTGACACATTAACATCAAATTATCAATTTCCATCATTGCCACCATCTCCCCCACCAACAATTTACGCAAATTCAAAACTTTTGAAATTTTGGATTTCTAAATTTGAATCTTACGCGACCTCAGCAAAAAGATCATGCCAAAAATTATCGAAGGAATTCAGGGACGATTCTAGATGCTTTCCATTTTTAGAAAGTTTTTATTACATGTTCAATTCAATAGTACAACTTGGCCAATCGAGAAAAATATCATCATCTGAAGCATTAGATTTCACTTTAAGAATGTTAAATGTTATAAGGATTGAACATAATCATTTTCATACTTTACATGTTAATAACAACAACAATAGTAACAGTAGTACTTCAACAATAAAATTACCGCCAATAGTTTTACATAGATCGTTAGATGAACCATTATCAGAATTAATATCTACTGTGTTGGAACCTTCAGAACAGAAATATTTGTGTGATTATTTATGGGCCCCAGTTAACATTTCAAATCTTTTGCATCTTAAAGAAATAAGAAGTAATGATGATGATGATGATAATTGTAATAATATTGATATTGATAATAACATGAGAGTGGTAAAAGATGAACTTGATGAACAAATCATTCGTGAACCTGGTTTATTGCAAGGTTCCAATATAAGTCAAGTACATCACATGATTGTAGGCGGAAAAATGGAAAGTCTTATGAAAAATATTTTAGAAAAACACAATAACAATAACAATGATGATGACGTTTTTGATGGATTTGACGATGTGCAAATGAATTATTAATTTATAGTATATATATATATATATAGTATATAGAGAGGGGTTATAAATTAATCAATATAAATAAATTTACATTCTTTTTTTTGTATTTAATATAATATATAATAAATATTACTTTAATTTTAATTTTAATTTTTTTAATTTATAGATTTTACATTTTATTTCGACTATAGAACAAAAACAATCAACAGACATTTAATCATAATTGCTTTATTTGTGTACATTATTTATTTATTTCAATCATCAAAATCAAATCATTCATTCATTCATACATTCATTATACATTCATTCACTCATTCATTCATTAATTCATTCAAATTTTTTCTTGTTTTCAATGATAATTAATAATTTTTGAAAAAATAATAAAAAAAATCATTTTGATGGGTGTCTCTGAAATTTAAAGATCTCTCTCTCTAAATTATAATGTATTTAAAAATTTCTTTTATTGGAAGATTTCCATATCATAGAAAATTTTTAAGCTGGTCATCAGTCAGTCTTTTAGAAAAACACAAGGAAGATAAGATCATTCCGAAATTTTACAATTTATATATAGAGACATATAAAATGTTCTAACTTTGAAGCAAAGCTTTTCTAATAAAATGAAGCTTTAGGTCTTTAGCTTTAATTCTATCGGTTTACTTTTTTTTTTTAATAAGCTTTTAAAGTCATGTGATAATCATTGACCGTTATAGATATCTTGCACTATAGTAAATATTTCTCATCTTTTATTATTTGATGAATTATTTATTACGAGACATCAAATTATTCAAAATCATTTGATTGCCAAATATTTTTTAAAAGATAGGGTAGAGTTCATCAATTAATCTTATTGATTGGTATACCTTGTTACAATGAAATCTTTGAAAAATAAATGATGGCAAAAAAAAATGTGAGTCACAGTAAAAAAATTGGGTAAAATTCTTTTTTTTTTTTTTTTTTTAATAAAAAGATGCTAGTTACTCACTATTCATGCTGTCTTTTTTTGATTTTTAAAAAATGATAATTGCAGAAATAATTATTGTAGGATCCTTATTTTTTTTTATTGTTTTATTATCATAATCTCCTCTTCATATTTTTATAAATCATCATCATCATCATCATTGTCATCATCATCATCATCATCATCATCATTGTCATTGTCATCATCGTCGTCATTTTCCTCGTTTTCTTCACTACTACTACCATCATCTTCGCTGTTGCTGCTATCATCACTATCATCCTTCCCACTACTACTACTATCGCCATCATCATCTGTTCCGTGTTCATTTTCTAAAATAGTGATCTTTGGTGTTATGATTGGACTTTTATTAATAGCATCTCTAATGAAATCACTGGCAGTATAATAATCAGTATCACCATCAATTTCATCTGATGATTCGTCGTCTATTGATGAAAACACTCCTAATCCAAGATCCTTTTTTTAATTAAATAAATTTATTAAAATCTTGGATTTCTAATAACAAAAACAATAAAAACAATTCTTATGTTCAAAAAAAAAAAACTACCAATTCTATAAAACCCTTGGAATCATCTTCGATATATTCCATATTAACAGCTTTGGGATCTTGTTTCATAAGTTTTTCAAGTCTTTCATTATCTTCTTTAATCTTGGGTAAAAATTCTTTTAAGCTATTTATTACTTAAAAAACAATAAATAAATTAATGTTAAAAATTTTTTTAAAAAAGGTCGAATTAGAAAAAATTTATTTACAATCAGTCGGTGGCTCTATTGGAGGAAATTTAGGTAGACATTTATTATCAATTGTAGCATCAATGTTGTTATTTGAAATTTCTATAATTTTTTTACGACAATTAATTTCTCTTGTTTGTCTTTTCCCTTTTTCATTAATGCTATTTTTGATTATGATTTCATTTAAAAGTTTTGCTAGGAAAAAAAAAATTTTAAATTTTTTTTAATTAAATGAAATAAAAAAAGGAAATAATATATAATAATAATATTATTTTTTATTACGTCTTTGAGTTTTTCTTTCTTCAAATTCCAGAAATTCAGTTGAAATATTTTTCTTTTCAGTTACCATTTCGTTGTATAAAATTTTTTTGATATTAATATTACGCCAAACACAGATTACATAAACTTGTTTTCATTCGATGATTAATAATAGTACATGATGTTAATATTACCATCAAAAATATATCAAGTTTAAAAAATTAATCAATAAAAAAGGTTATTAAACAATAATAATAATAATAATAATAATAATAATAAAAATAATAATAATAATAATGGATTTTTTGTCTACTGGAAGTTTAGAGCAATCTCGAAAAATTCAAGACTTAAAAGCAGAAAATGAAAAACTCAAGTATGAATTGGATGATTATAAAAATAGAATTGAACCAAATTATATTAAAATGGTCGAATATCTGGAATATCTGGAGACACAATATAATGAAAATATCGAGGATTTAGAAGCACAATATAATGATCGCTTGGCCAAATATCAAAACGATGCTGAGGAATATTACAATAATCAATGTAAAGACTTGGAAATTAATTTAACAAGATATAAAGAATTAATTGAACCGACTTACCTTGGTAAAATTAAAGAATTAGAAGAAAAATTGAATCAAGAAAACGAAAAACCAACTTGCATCAAAAAAATCGATGAATTAGAAGTGAATCATAATAACCACATCAACGAATATCTAAAGCAAGCCGAGGAACATTACAATAAAAAAGTTAATATATTAATGAAAGAATACAAAGAAAATGAATCAAGTTACAAAGAAATAATTAATAAATTATCTCAAGGAAAAAAAATTTGTCTAAACAATTTAAATAATTATAAACAAGAAATCGAGCCAAAATATAAAGAAAAAATCAAAAGTCTAGAAGCACGATATAACAGCGTTATACATGATTGTCAACAAGCCGAGGAAATGTACAATAAAAAACTTAAAGAATTAACGACAGAAATTGAAACTTACAAGGAAACGATCAAACACTTGGAGGAGGAAAATAACAAATTAAAACAAGAAAGATTAAATGATTTAAACAATTACATTAAGCAAAAAATTGAACCACTGTACGAAGAAAAAATTAGAAATTTAGAAGCGGGATATAATGATAAACTTGTTAAAGTTCAAAAAGAATCTAAAGAGTATTACTATAAACAACTTCAAGATTATACTCTTACTTTAACGGCTGAGCAAAAAGAAATTGAATCAAAATACAAAGAGATGGTTGATAAATTAAGGCAAGAAAAAGAAAATTGTTTAATAGACTTGAATAAATACAAGCAAAAAGTTAAACAACTTGAAGATTTAGCAGAAAAAAATCAAAACTATGCTATTACTTTGAAGGATGAGCAAATAGAAAATGGATTAAAATACAAAATGATAATCAATAAATTAAACCAAGAAAAAACTCATTTCCAAAAGAATTTAGATAAATATAAAGAAAAAATTAATAAATTAGAAAAAGAATTGTCTCAAATAAAAGAAGATAATTGTCAATTATCTGAATTCTTGGAATATAAAAATTCCACAGAGAAAAAGATCAAAAAACTAGAAATAGAAAATTATAGTATAAATAATGCGATTAAGAAATTGAACAAAGAATTAGAAATTAAAAATAAGGAATCAATAGAAGCTTCTTCATTGTATCAGTCGGCTTTAGGTGATTCACCAATACCTTGCTTTAATGACGAAGCTTTAAATAATTTGGTTAATTTTACAACTGATATAATTAATTTACAAAATAAACTTGAGAAATATGTTACCACTCTAAAAGGTTCTATTGATATTAACGTTAAACTAATTAAAGAGTTATATGTAAAATATCACGTGAAATCTCAAAACTATAAAGATAAAATTTTGATGAAATCAACTTTGCAACGTTATATTTTAGAAAAAGTTCTTGAATATGCAGATGATTATTTTAAAATTAAAGAAAGTGATGACTTAAATGATCTTTATAATCAAGAAAAATTTATTGTAAACCACACAAATAAATTTTTAGAACTCCTCACCAATTTTTATAATAATAATAATAATAAGCAAGACGATAATATGGTCAAAACTATTCCAACAAAAATTCGTCAATATACATACTTTGCATTAGGTGAACTTGGATTTCCTGAAATTTACGAAAGAAGAAAACCTCAATCTCATCATCCATTTATATCATCCACAGCACAAAGACTCAATCAATCAATGGCTAAATATCGTTTCATCAGAGATGAAAATAAAAGAAAGTATACTGAAAATATGGCAGAAGATATTATTAAAGACATTGTAAGGATATTCAAATTCAGTCTATTGACCCAAGAACCAAAATGTGAAATACATTGGTTTAAAAACGATGATAAAATAATGCCAAAATTAATGAGAGGTCAATGGGATGATGATTATTTGGATGATTTTGTTGTTGATATTTGTTATTTTCCTTTGATAGTAACAATGAATTCAAATGACGATTTCAGTAAAAGTAAAGTGTATTCTTATGCAAAAGTTTACCCTCGAAACATTGCAATTCCTCAAGAAAATAAATTTTATGATCTATCTTTAAACGAGACATCGGGTAATAAATATAAAAACTCATCAAGAAATAGCGGTGATGATCTAATTAACCCTTTAGCGAAGAAAATAAATAGAAAAACATCAAGTGAAGACCAAAATGCCGCATCATCCTCCTTATCGTCATCAGATAAAGTAATAACGAGTCCACAGGATACAGCGCTTCAAATAGTCTTTGCGTATGATAATCTACAAAATGCAGATTCTGATGAAGATGACAAAAATTTTAATGAAGATATGAAAGAAAAAGATGACAAAAATCTGAGGTTGATGATAAAAAAAATGTTTACAAAGCAGTAATGATTAAGGAAGAGATTTTGAATAAAATGAACAGAGTAGTCGAGTACAAACAACAATGGCTGTTTAAAGTAATTCGTTTGTTCATTCATTCGTTCATTTTATTCATTCATATTCATTCATTCGTTTATTTATTAATATTCTAATACATTAATAATATTAAAAAATCCCAATTTTAATACAAACCAGAGCCTAAATTGTATATATGATTAGAATCCTTATTATCATCAACATTCTCACACTCAAACTTATATGGCGGCAATGGTAATGTGCGAACATAATATCTTTCTGGAATGTTAAGTGAAATTTGATGCAAAATCATGAAAATCGAAACAAAAACCCTAATGCGTTGCGGTTCTCTGAAACCTCTTCTTTGGAGAAGTTCTTGGGTGTGAGGTAGAGTAGACTGTTGCGAAATGAAATATAATGAATGGTAAGAGTAAATTGGAAGCCCGTTTTTTGTCTATTTTGCTAATTCCACCGTTCGATACAGGAAGGGTAATTGGGTAATCTACTTTGGAAAATATATCGTGCAATATCATTTTGTATCATATGAAATCTTATCATGATTGATTTATCATTAAAAATATAACAAAGTTTTATCAATAATTCTGTATAAAGTTTGCGATTTATATTATCCTTTATTGAGGAAATTTCATTAGACATTCAAAGCCTATTCATATTAAAGATTTTTTAAACTAGTATACTTACTTATTTAACTAATGATAAAAAATTCCAATAAAAAAGGACACGACAGAACTTGTAATTGAATCTTAATTATGAAGCACAAAGTAACAAAAGCCCGAACAAAAAATGCACTAAAGATTTAAGCATCAAACCTTGCACTTCCCATAAATACGTTAGCCAACCCATGAGAAATTGAAAAGTTCGGTGGCAGGAATATTTAATTGATAGTTTGAATGTTATGGCCATTGCAAGCAGATGCTCTTCTTCCACTTTACATATGAATCATGTGATTTCATACACCTTACCCAGGTGATTTCTGGCCGATTCTAATTAATCGAGACTTTTTATTAAATGTGTCGATCATCTATTTCTATCACGTATCACAAATTAATTGTGCTATATATTTAAATGAACAAGTGCCCGGTGCATTGACATCACATCCCAACCTTACCAAAACATCAATTGCCCAAACAACATATTTGCTTGCAATACTATCTTTAGTAGGCTTCTTCATTAATTTGATGTTTTCAGATAACATATGTAAAGCAGTTTTACCTTCTTTGACTGAAGTTCCATGAAAATCCGCATTACAATACTTCAAACATTCAAACATCTTGTTGATGTTCCTCCTTGGACAATATTTGGACGTGATGATTACTAGTTTTTCTTTTTTTAGGTCCATAAAATTATACTCACCTTCTACACTAGATCCTTGCTGAAAATGCCATAGGATCACCTAATGCTGCATGTATACTTGCATGACATTTGTCTGGTTTTGTGTAATCTCGCATGGTTTCATGCTCTTCAGCAAAGCTTTTAATGTTGCATCACAAGTTTTCTTGTGATTAATGTCTGTTCTTGGTGGCTGCACATACAAACACACAATATAATATTAATTATGAAATCATGTGAAATTAATTATTACCTCTTTGAAAAGTGATTGGTATTACTTGTAGTCATGGTATTTTTGCATTTGTAAGTATGGATCAACTATCAAATACCCAAAATAAATAAACCAATAATTGATTTTCAATAAAATAGTTTATTTATATAATCATTTGTACGACGTTTTGCAAATCATCGACTTCATCAATAATAATATTGACAATAAAAAATGGCGACTTCAACTATTAGTAGTAATGATCGTGTCGCTTTCATTGGATTGGGTGCAATGGGGTAAATTAATCAATCAATCAATGTCAATAGAAATATTTTGCTCATTCATTCGTTCGTTTATTACTCATTTATTTGTACAGTTATCCAATGGCTACTAACCTTCAAAAGTATTTAGCAGTAAATCAATTTCCAAATCTGCTCGTTTACAATCGTACATACTCCAAAGCCCAATCACTTGCAGAATCAGTAGGAGCAATTGCTACACAATCATTACAAGATGTTGCAGAACAAGCGAACATCATATTTACTTGTTTATTGAATGACCAAGCAGTCTCCAGTATTTATAAAGAATTGTTGAAATATTCTGATCCACGTAAATTCAACAACATTAATAACAGATCAGTAATTTTTATTGATTGTAGCACAATTTCACCACATGTTATTAATGAAGTGAAAAATGAAGTTGAAAAAATAGAAAATAGATTTCTACTTGCATGTCCTGTTTGGGGGCCACCAGCCAAAGCTCAGGTAATAAGAAAATGGGATAATTACGTGAATAGGAGGATGTGCATTGAGGGAATAGAGGGAGGAGAAATAGGGGAAGAAATAGCAAATTTATTATTGTTGTTGTTGTTGTTGTTGTTGAATTATTCAATTATTAGAAAGCTGAATTAGTGGTTATTACATCCGGTAAACAATCAATCATTGATAAAATAATGCATTTACTTGTACCAGTTCTTGGAAAAAAAGCAATCCCAATTGGTAAATAATCTATATACTTATTCATTTATAAATATACGAGTGAATATTTATTTATTCAACCAATACAATATTTATAAAGGAGAAGATGTAACCAAAGCAGCAAAATATAAACTTGTTGGAAATTTTTTTGTTGGGGGAATAATTGAAATGTTGTCAGAAGGATTAACATTTGCAGATAAAAATGATATTAGTAGAGACAAAATGATGGAATTTTTTGAAGAATTTTCATCTGATGCGGTTATTAAAGGATATGGTCAGTCACCACATCATAATAATACATATATAGATAAATAGACTTATGCTAAATTAACTTATTAGTTTGATTTATCAATTGATGATAGGAAAAAGAATGGTAAATGATACTTTTACCACAGATATCAGCTTCAGTGTTAATAATGCCATGAAAGATGTTAGGTGATAAATAATAGTAGAGCATTAAATATTGTTTTCATTAATTATTTAATTCATTAATTAATATTTAATTTATTTGTTTAACTTTTAGACTTATGCGTAATTTAGCTGATGATTCTCAAGCTCAATTACCAATTGCAGATTTATTATTTCAACATTTATTAACATCAAAAGCAAATGGTGGTCAACATTATGATTGTTCTTCTGCTGTTGGAGCTTTAAGACTTGGTAAAACAAAATAGAATAAAATTTTATTATTTAATTTATATTTCTATGTTCTATTATAATTAATTGTTGTTGTTATTATTATCATTGTTATTTTAGCTTCTGGAATTCCGTTTGGTGATGAAGAATTCAAAAATACCAAAGAAAAAAAAGAATAAAAATAAAAATAAAAATATTTGATTGTTTGGTCTTTTTTTGTTTTTTTTTCAAAAAAAAGAAAAAAATAAAGAATATAAAAAAACCATTTTGAATTTTTTTGTTCTTGAGAACGGGAACGCGTGAATCGATATCAAGTTTTTTTTAAAAAAAAAGTTATATAATTCGATCCCGAACTAATTTGTTCTCTTTTTTTGTTCACATCTTTTTTTTAATCATCAGAAACACCAATTTATAATTTATTTAAGGGCCAATAGGATTTTGTGGAATAATTTCATTGTAATGATTGGATGAATTGGGAATCTCGTGATCACGACAAACAACCAATAACGATTTCTTGCCAGCTATACTTTACCAAAAAGGCTTCTTTATCAAAATCAGGTTAATGAGTCAAATCTCTTAAACAATATGAAATGAAATCATAAGCATATTTAATTATTAGCAGTTAAACTTGGTAGAATGAATTTCTTTTATTAATCGACAATGTAAACCTTTATTATTGTTGTGGAAGTTTGTAATTAAAAACGATATCGCGCGATTTTTAATTAAATTTTGAATATTTGCCAAAACCTAAGCTCCATAATAATTAAAAAAAGAGATGTGTGAATCGCATCCCAAGTATTAATAATCCCTTAAAGGAATATATTAAAAAATTGGTTAATGATACGAAGAACATGCAAAAATGAGAAACCAATCAAGTCACTGGAGTTTACAGGAATAAATGATTCTATTTAAAATTTTCATTTCTCGATTACGTATAATTGCAAATATGATAAAATGAATAAATATAAGGTATTTTTGTATTTAGCTGAGATGTCGGATTAATATAACTCTCCTTTTCAAACATATACAAGTGACTTCTTGTTGTCATTTCGTGGCGACCAGGACTGAGTACGTAACCTAACAAGCCACTTGACCAAACTATTAGTCACAAGTCAAATTTAGTCAAGACTATCAAAATCATGTCACAGCAAACTAGATTCTCGCCTCACTCATTGGTTGCTATTGTCACCGATTAAATTTGGGAGAGCGTATTTTAATTGGTGATAACAATTATTTTTGTTTTGTGTGGATCAGAATGAATAGGAGATCAACGAATTGATTTTGGTATTAGCGAATAATTTTGGTTAAAGAAGATAAAAGTTTTAAATAAAATATTTCTATCTTATTTATTTAGTTTTATTTAGTCGAAACTAATTAACTTGTGACAAAGTTATTAAACTAAGACAAAGTTATTACAAAGTTATTTTACAACCAAGTTAAATTTGAGCTTCTTTTATACAATTAAATTAATTAATAACAACTTCATTGCAATCTAACATTCTAGCAGCGATATCGCACTATAATTGCTAATTTCGACGTTATACGAATAAAAATAAAAATGTAATACAAATAAAATAATAAAAATAAAATAAGAAATAAAATATGAGGAATAAATGTAGATATAAAATAAAGTAAAATAAAGTAAAAAATAAAAATAAAAGATTTGGTTCGGAATTAGGGTACGTATGTTTCATATTAGTACGTAATTATTGCATAATACCATGACGATCTTTTCTTAACATTAAACAGTTTTTTTTACTTTTTTTTTTTTAAAAAAAGTTTTCTCTTGAAAATGTCTCGTGCATGTACTTCAAATGAAATTTGGTGGGCAAGGATTTTGGATAGGATTGACGAAACTGTACATAATTATCCAAAATTACCAAAAAAGCCATTAGCAGTAAGCAGGTAGTGTATAGGTGTATTTATTAACTTATTACTTAAGTACCAGCTAATGTGAACTTTGTATGGAATGCAGTTTGCCATTACAAATTGGTTCGAATATAACAATCAAAAATTATAACACTTTTCTTAACAACTACGGTTCAGAGGGATATAAATTCTATTTCAAGTTAAATGCTGACAATAAAACTGGTAGCGTATATATAATTGGTATGGCAACAAAAGTACATGAGGTTGTTGTTAATCTGCTTCAAAAGTTTTTCAAAGTTCCTAACAGAGGAGTTATTTATGACCCTCCCATAGTAGTAACAGGACAACCTCGTAAGTGAATTTATTCTAGTTCACTTCTTGTTATTGAATTTTCAATAATCTAATAGTCTTTTCATATAGTTCACTTTAAACCTAATGGAGGTGGAGTTGAAATAGCTCCTGATGTTGCCGTATATCCAAACACAGCACTTGTTCCAAGACCTGTTAATTCAATCATAGTACC